AGCGCTAAGAAATCATTTCCAGTTACGGGTAAGACATCGAAATCTTAGAGACTTGAGCTCTTGAATGATATTGAAATTACGAAGACTCTGTTGAGTGAAAAATGCGCCAATGTGAAATTTTATTTTATTTCTGGTTGTTAGAGCTCATTTTTAGGACTATTTTAGAAGTGAAGCACAACGTCAAGATTGTCGATCGACAACCAAAACTCTAAGAAAGCAAAACACGTTGTTTCTACAAGTTAAACAGATTATGGGTGGCCACAAGGCAGCGAACTTTCATATAGATTAGAGCATCTTGTTCCTTTGTAAACGCAAGAAATTTTTGTTTTGCACACCTTTTGAGCAAAGAATTTTTGACTCGAGTAACAAGTACAACCTACAATATTGACACCATTATGATCTTGATTATGATCTTCACGCGAAATCAGTAAGATGTGACCCAGCATTTAAGAAATCCTTTGAAAATTCAAAGCAGATACTAAAGCAATTTAAAGCAAACATGTATATGTTGTTTCATTCATAACAGCTCACAGTGGAGTTCGCGTTTTAGCTGACAGTTGGCAGATGCCGAGAAGACCTTCGATCCAAACGGACCCAATGTCAGCATTTGAACCGCATCTATTCACTACATTTTGCCACATCTCCGTCGACCAGTTCGCCATGATAACCTCCGTGGTCTTCACAGAATCTCCCTCAAAATGAATGCTTACAAACAAAGAAACATTGCAAGCCATAAGAGTTCCTGAGATAGTTGTGTAGTTGGCGGGAATAGGCTCGACATCCTCGTCCTTTATGCTTATTGTTACACCCATCTTTTCCGTCCATATTAGGGCAGGTGCCGGCTAGCGTGTTGTCAACAGTGGTGCTGTGGGGTAGCTTGTTCAAGCCTATCATAACTGCAAGTAACATCTTTCAACAATTATCCGCTACATTCAATTGTAGAACAAATACAGGCGTGGTACCTCAAAGTCCGACTTTTATCAAACGCTGGAAAAGAATAATTGCTGTTTTTCGATATAATTTGGTGATAACAGCACTTTCCACGGACCTCCCCCTTGAGGGATCCCGCCGTTTAGTCGCGAGGGCACGTGGCGCGTCCTCAGGTGGTGGATAGGGGAATAAAACGTGAACCAAAAGCGGCCGTGTGCTTCCCAGAGACGCAGGTGGATTCAGGGGAGAGCACCCCCGCTTCTGCAGCGCCGACTTGACAAAAACTCTATTTCTACGAGTCAAGTCGGCCAAAAGCCTGCAATCAAGCGGCTGGGAAGTACATGGGAGGCGGTCAGGAGTCGCCTCCAACAAATAAGCTCCTCCCACTCCTCCGAGAGAGACTGGCAAGCTACTCGTGAGTACCCAGCCCCCACGTTTAGAGCCTGGCAAGCTATGCGTTGGGTATCGAAATGCCAAAAACAGCAACAAATATGGGCCTCATCTCCCTGACCCCAAAAGAGCCCCTGGTACGGCAGCGCCAGGTAGGACGAGTACGGAGAGGCTGCTAAAATCTCAGGGCCGAACTAGGCTGCCAAGATCGAAACGGACTAAAATGACGATCTGTACCTACAACGCAAGAACCCTTGCTCACGAATCCGCAGTAGAAGATCTATTGATTCAAGCAAGGAGAATAAGGTATGACGTCATTGGCCTGGCTGAGACGAGAAGGGCCATCCTTTTCACGCTGTTTATGACACCGGAGAAGAACTGTTTCTTGGAGCATGCAATCGCAGAGGTGTCGGCGGCGTTGGCGTCCTCGTCAAATCGAACTTGACCGTGAGCATTGATTCGTTGAACAACTAACAACCCGTATCGGACGATTACGGTTGAAACGATGTGGATCTATGCCGGCTTTGACCATCTTCGTTGCTTACGCACCAACATCAAGCTATGACGAAGACGAAGTCGAAGCGTTCTATATGGACCTCGAAAAATTCTTCAGAGAAGATCATACACATTCTTCAAGGTCATTGTCGGAGATTTTAACGCAAAAACTGGACCTAGAAGAAGTCTTTGAAGAACGTCACATAGGGACCCACGGACTAGAATGGATGACAGGGTGAGAGGCTATCTGAGTTTATCATGACGACTCAAACATCTATGGTAACTCGCAATTCCAAAAGCCTCTTTCTCAGCGATGGACGTGGGAGTCTCCCAATGGAGAGTACCATAACGAAATAGACCACATCATAGTAAATCGAAGGTTTTGCCTGACCGACGTCGCTGTTTTTCCTAAGTTCTACACAGGATCAGACCATCGCCTCCTTCGCGCAACGTTCCGTTTTTCGAGGAGAGGAGAGAAAGCCGCTAAATTCAAACAACGAAGTCCCAGAACTACCACAAACTGGCATATATTCAAATCATTAATCGGCTCTTGGGAAGATACCGTTGTCGACAACATCGACGAAGAATACGATCGACTCGTTGGATATCTTCGCGTTAGCGCTATGAAAGCCGAGAGTTTAAGGTCACGAAGAGACGCTTGTCTCCGCAGACACTCGAGCTGACACGTCAACGTGGAATCGCACGAGCTGCAGGCAACCGAAAATCTTACGTTCGAACTTGCGAACGCTGCAGAGAAGCGATAAAAGAAAACCTCAAAGAGAGAAGAGCAGCAGTTATGGCAGAAGCTGCGAAGCTGGAAGAGCATTCGCAAAGCCCAGCGAGGCTTCGCCAACTATAAGACCAAGATGATTGCACTCCATACCCTGACGGGACACTTACTGCTTCGAGGAGGGCTATGGAGAAAAATCATCCACCAATACTACTCGGATCTCTTCGCTAGCCAAGTCCTCTTACCGTCTCATAAATTGAAAAAGGACGAATATGTCGTCTTCACCGGTCCTCACTTCCGAAATCCGCCATGCTATATCGTCGGTGAAGAACAGAACAAACAGCCGGTCCAGACAGCATTAGACCAGCACAGTTGAAGAATCTGCCACCAGTTCCCATCAACACCCTGGCTCCGTTCTTCACTCGCTACCTGTCAGAATGCAAGGTCCCTGTTCAATGGAAACCAGCAAGACCGTGTTGTTATTTAAAAAGGGAGATCTTCACGACAAAGGCAGTTATCGCCCAATCTGCTCACTGTCCGTTGTCTACAAACTCTTTACTCGAGTCATCCTAAACAGGATTGACAGAGCACTGGACGAAGGACAGCCATGCGAACAAGCAGGGTTCCGAAAAGGATTTAGTACCATAGACCACATCCACACGATTACAAGACTCACTGAAGTTTCACGAGAGTACAAACAAACCACTATGTCTCACTTTCATCGATCTGAAGAAAAGCTGATCCAGTGGAAACAGGAGGGGTATAGAGGCTCTGGATAACCAGGGCGTCCCTACTCGGTACTTAATGATCCTTCGTGAGCTTTATGAAGATTTCACGATCAAAATATCTACACTCTCGTTTGATGTGACTGAATGCAAATCTGACATGTACAGTGACTTATGATGGCCTAGCAATTCTCGCAAAGGTGCTTTACATCCTTTCGTGACCATATCCACTCAGAAGCATGGTTATTCCAGATATCCATTCGAACTGCGCATGAAATTTGCCTAGGGGATGTGAGTCTTTTGCTTTCCTCATTCTGCTTAATAGCCATTTCCTTTTAGTAATTGCTGATTTTAGCAGTAAGAAATAAAGGGAAGCTAATCCAATGAGGTATTTCCCAAAGATCACTCAACTGTTGTACTGAGATGAATTTAGTCGACGAATTTCGTATATCTGATGAATGAAGATGAATTTTGTATATCTCATTAGGTTTCATAACGACTAGCTTTGTCGCGGAAAGCCCATATTTGAACCACTGAAATGTGTTATACGTCACTTGAATAAATGACTGAAGCGAAATCTCGTTACGGTATGTATAATTCATACGCTAAATACCGTCGTAACTTCAGAAAATTGCACATTCACAAACTCATTTTCATGGTTTATACTAACAGTTTCTAATCATTCCAATATTGGCGCAGTTTAGGAACTTCTCTCGGCTTTGTTGCTATCTTTCACCTCTTCGATTCGTGACTGCCATGTCCATAACGTCAACCATTTATAAACCATGACAGGTGTGCGGATTGGGTTCTTATAGTCGCATCACGAAGACAGCTCTGAGGGATAAGCGTCCGCCGCGCCGACATCCAATGACCTATAGTGATCACTTGTATATCGTAGTCATTGAGTGGTGAAATAGTTGGCGCTGAGTGCTGAGTTGTCACTGAGTGCAGACTGTGCCGCCGTGGGTCGGGAGCGTACACTGCGCGACGAAGCTTCACAGTGAGCCCACGTATGACCTGTCACTGAGGGTAAAGCATTCAGCCCAATGTTTAACCACCCCTTTTCTGTAAATAAGCCCCCGTGGCCCTCAATTAAATTCCACTAGATTCTCTCCTCCCCCTCGGTGCAATCTTCACGAGGAGTACATGGCGATCCGCACATCGCCTGCATGACTTCGTGCTACACGTTCACTGACCAGTGTACCGGCAAATTTCGAAACTCCACTTAGCATCAATGCTGACGTCATTCAAGTCTCTCTTTTATTTTTGCTGTGGCTCTTCCACTTCTTGCTCTTGCTTTGCCTGTTGTTCTTCCTCACTTTTTTCACGTAACTAATTTTCATCGATCCTGACGTACCATTGCTTCATTTGAGAGCTGTTGTCGTACAAGCCTTTTGCACTCTAACATTTTTCACCTAAGGTTTAACCCCTTTCCACTCGAGAAGCTTCACCACTCTTGAACTACTTCACTAGGGTTATACCCCTTCATCATTTGAAACATATCTCGCATCTACTACTTTTTCGTCGAACGACACCGCCTTAATACTGTGTTGTATTAGTGTTTCATATCCCAATAATATAGAGTGGTGTGCACGATTGATTATTGATACCTAATATCTGTGACCATAAGTGGGTTCAATGCCGCCAGCGCCTGGCTACGCCTGACCGTTGACGATGGGCTGTTGACACATAACTCGTTGTAGCGTAGAAAATAGTGGAGTGCAAAACGAGCGTTGGTATTTCGACGGTCCAGCAAGCGCTCCCGGATAGAGTGAGGTCTGGGTTCGAATCCCGGCTGAAGCAAATGTTTTTGCGCACCACTCTACATTATTTGGTATGATGTAAGATTATACCACCGCAAGAGGCGGTCGAATAAATGAATTCCGAGTGTTTCATATTGTCATACAATACATATGCAGACATTACATGTCTACATTTTTGAGTTGGTCGTTCAGACGAACTTACATTGTTCATTACAGATTATTGACGTTCGTTCATCGGATATTCATTGTTCACTCAATCGGATATCACCACACGTTTCTTGGATTATTCACTGTTGTTTATTGGGATGAATCAATAATCAACCAGCGTAGTCAATCTGCAAAGACATCGGGTAGCAAAAATGTTGTGTGTTATGATAAAGCGAGTAAAAAAAAAATTAGACTGCGCGCGGTACTGATGTAAAAACTATATAAGTACACAACAAAAACTGCTACACGCGAGGGTGCCGTGGCAGAGTAGTTGTCATGCTCATTGCGACGCACGTGGATCCGAGCGCTGTCCCACAGAACTCTCCGGCAGTCAACAATGCGTTATGGAACGCCACAACATGGCTATTCCTGGGATTGCAAGGAGACTTGCTTAACCAGTATACTACGATCCTTAAGAGAAATGTGAGGGAACGAAATAAATGTTAGAAGTAATGTAATCAATACAATGAAGAAAAACACTGTGGAACTTATAAATAGAGGTCAAGTGTGTTCCGATATAACTGTTTTATGAACACACCTTGTAGATAACATTTTCGTATTAACGATTTGCCTTCTTTACACAACAACTTTGCAATTAAACCTCTGCAGTTGTTATCAAGCAATTCAAACTAAACAAATTCTCGCAGACCGGCTAGCTCTTGAGCTCATCATCGTTAGTTGATAGCACTCATGATTGCCACCTGTTATGATACTTGCGAATTTTTTTTTTTTGCTTCCGAGAAACAATGCTGCTCGAAGAACTATTGTGTGCATCATTTTTGAGTAAAGCACCAAGTAAAAAACTGTACTTATATGCCGTGTTTAAGATACTCTAACAAATGAGGGAATTTTATTTGAGCGCTGACTCGATGGGATTATAAAGACCCATTTCTGACCAATGAATGGATGAAAGAACCAACTCCGACTTCTGAGTCGTACTTTGAAGCAGACGAAGGCTTTGAAACAATTTTGAAAGATGTTTGTGTCATTTCAAAAATGTGAAATATAAGGCCGAGAAAAAAGTTCCTTAACATCCGCTGAAAAGTCAAGTGTATATAAATTTGAATGAAAACATCAATAATTGTTCTTCCTAATAAGGACCACCATTATCCACGAATTTCTGCTAGTGATCCATAAGTTTAACTGCTTCGAAATCTGCTCGAAACCCTATTACTTGGGGTTTGGATCAAAGAAGTCGTGACATGCCTCTTCAACTGAATCAAATGTCTCGAATCGGCGTCTCGCAGGAAATGTTCCATGGCGAAGGAAATCAGACCATAATCGGACGGCGCAGCATTGGAATGTTGACTGAGGTGCAGCAAGACATCGATTACTGGGATTTATCAATCCTTAGTCTTCTTTGCGGTGTAAGGTTTTGCACTATCTTGCTGAAACAGCGCGCACTTTCGACAAATCGTTGTCGGATACCTTTCATTCAACGCAAATTTCTCCTTCTTGTGGAAATAGTCCTGAGATATTCTCATGAATCTACAATAACCGAGTGTGAAACCAACATGAAGATTGAAATTTGTGGCTGTGTCGAGGAACATTTTCCTCAACCTAGTATGAATGATTAGGCACGAGGAATTTCTCGTCAGAAAACCGATGATTCAACGGCGCACACTACGCTTTGAGTTCTCTGTTCACGAACAGGAGAAACACAATATTTTTCAATATTTATTTTTTTGAAGAAGGGTACTACGAAGTTGTATAAAAAAAAATTTCTTTGGCTAACGTTTCTACCTCTTTTTCATAGCCGTTCCTTCCGCCCCCTATATGAGCCTTTGTTATTGCTACTCGAATCTTGTCGAGCGCCGTTAGAATGGGGCAACTATACGCGCTGTTCTTATATGCAGAACGGTCACCGGTACTGATTGTCCTCTAATAATAATTCGTTCTTGTCCGGATAACGCACCGTGCTGCTGAATTATCGACGTTAGACTCTAAAAGATCTGCCTTAAAAAAGACGAATGCGCCAAAATGGTTGCCGAATAAAAATTTCTTATCAACCTCGAGTTATCATGAGAAAAAAAGATTACGTATTGATTAGTCAGGCCCAGGTTGAACGAAAGTCTGTTTGAAGCCTATGGGCGCAAAGTACAAATTGATCACGACTGGGTAGTGAATCGAAGCAAATTTGAAGTGTACAAGAACAATTCCCAATGCTATCATATGTTGGGAATGTTTAATTTGAGCAAACGAAATTACAATGTTTATCTTGTGCTTATGATATTCTCTTATCTCATATCGTGCCTGAAAGTAACCGAAGTATTGCAATATTCTACGATTTTAGTAGAAGAGTTCTTGATAACCTACTGTAATTCGAAAAGTTCTTCGCCTTTTTTGACTACTAATGTAGAGTCACTAACATCAACAAATAAACGTTTTCGGGAACAAATTTTAAAATCCATACCTGAGAAACCCTGAGTAGAGACAAAAAACCTTAACCCAAGTGCGTTCTGAATAGCAATTTTGTAAATAGAGGAATGAGTTCCCGTTATCTGCTAATGAAAGTGTTGGAATGCTAAAGGGCGGTTGTCGATGCAAACCAACTCCAACTGATTTCACCACACCAAGCTTAAACGGCGCATGTTTTACAGCGTATATTTGTTTGAATAACAAGAACCTATCTATCCTAGCCCATAGCTTTGAAAAAATCTTTGAGCTCATAAAAAAGTAGGTTTAGCGCTCGCATCTCTGAGAAGAGTGGCTTGCAATCTATTGAGAGACTGGGTGAATCAACTCGGATTACGTCATAGTAGCCGCAATTTTTCAATTGTAAGAGAACAAATGGTGAATAAGATGCCTATGACTACCCTCCACTCAGTTTACTGCTGTTCTCGAACTACGAATACAAAGAGTTGTAAATTCTCTCGATTCTATTGGTTTAATTCGTATCTGATATACACATTTGATAGCGAGCAAAGTTTACGATAGGAAAACATCTTCGAGACAAATGAAATTAAAATCGTAGGATTTCAAAAACGCTTACGTTAGTACCAAACAAATATCCACACAGACTATCTTTATAGAATCGCAATTTCAAGTTTTCATTTGCTGTTCAATTTATTTTGAACAGCACGCTACGGTATGATGTTTAATCACATCAATGTTAAGATACGAACGAAACTCTCTCACTATCCCTTTTGCTAATGGTCTCACCGAGCACGATTTGTACCTCTGCTTAACCATATAATGGGACACTCTATTATAAACCCAATTTCACTCCACTGATTTTCAATATGTTATGAGAAAATTCTCGATATTGTAGTTTTCTAACAATTCTGCTTTGTCTGTTTCGCAAATCAAAAACTTTTTCCGATGTCAGCCATGTAAAATTTTCCGCCCTCTTACGACATTATTTATGAACGTCAACCATAGCAGAAAAAGTAGTTCCGGGTCTTACTAGTTCCGTGTTGTCTCATTCAAGATGCAGATCGCCGAACAATTTTTGCCACAACATTCATCTTACAAATTCAATACGATACTGTACTTAGTCAGCAATTTCCAGTCACTACAGAGAAAAATCTCATAGTCGATAAGGTTCTTACACTCCTATGATGTGGTGCTTGAAGTAGCTTCAATAACACCTTTTCATTTGAATAGTCATCTCTGATCAACACGTTGACAACGAAGTTGAAATCGCGCGGGCGCCGTCGTGCTAACCGCTCTGCATATACAATGACGTTGTGGTAGTTTTCAAATATAATGTGGATTTTATCGTCACTAAAGAGAATTTTGTCGTCAGTAAAAGGGAAATATGATAAAAGAGACATTGATAAAGCTATCTAAACCAGAAACAATGGCTGATGCTTTTGCCTTATACCTCGTATCTCGAATGAAGAGGCAGATACTCAGTGAAAGATAGTAATTTGAACTGGTTAACCGAACATCGTTATGTTATCTTACATATAATCATTCACTTTCACAAAAGCAAATTTAGTGGGGATAATAGGCATTTCTCAAGTTATGGAATTACAGCAAAAATGTGGATGAAAAAGAAGGAAACGAGGGTATATAACAAACTGAAAATATGTTCCCTTTCACAACAATGTGCTTTTCCTGTTGAGACAGATATTTTTCCATACATGGGCATTCTCTTGAGTATAGAACTTTTCATCATTTCATTACGGTAATATCTACTCAGTACCCGACATTACCAAACATATTTCCATAATCAAATTTCCATATTTCCATTGCGAAACCTGATAATAAAGACCTCTGCTGCGCCTCGCGGCCCCACACGCGGCTTGAACTAATAACAGCTCAGATCATATATATCTGTAAGAATTGAGTGGTTAGCAAAAATAACCACCTCAACATCAACTGGGTTAACAAAGCGAAATCGCATACCCGACCAAACCTGTTGAAGGTCGGTGGTGACAGCTATATTAGAGCTATTGAAGGAAGAGAGGGAATGTACCTCTGTGGTGTAGTGGTAGCACGTCCGCGGCATAGATGAAAAAGCGGGTTCGACTCCCGGCCGAGATCGTATTTTCGCTCATCACTAGTTCTCTTGCGTATATATGAAACACCATAAAACTGCGGAAAAGGTAAAAAACACTAGAAATCTGAAGTGTTACAGCTCAGATCATTGTCAAAGTGTTAAGCATAAAAACAGTGTAGATTATTACTTTTCCGTAGCCAAACAAAAGAAAACATCTCTATAAATTTTCTTCGCAGTTTCCCTCTCCACTGAAATATATCAATCCTTTTTCTGAAGGGCTAGAGAGATTTTCTGAAGAGCTCAACTATTACATCTTATATCGTTGTCAAGTTTCTAGCTAAGAAGCTCTCGGCAATTGGTGATTCTTGAGGGATGCGCCAATGTAT